ACAAGCAGACGACGCAGTGTAGGCTCGACGACGCAGCAGACGAACAGGCTCAACGACGTGAGCTCCTCCGCTAGCCAGAGCCGTTGACGAAGACAAAAGATCAAAATGAGCTAAAGAAAGTAAAAGTCTGTTTTGAGCTACCATTAAACAATAAAATTGAATTTAATTAAATATAAAGTTTTTGTAATAAGTTAAAATAGCTCAAAATATTAAGTATGTCTCCTTACTCCCCTCTCTCCTGCCCTAGATCACTTGAATCGAGCAGCAACTCGGTTGAGCCTTTACTTCATGCAGGAAAGCTGATTCCAAGCACCTACAGCCGCAGAGCCCTCCTCTCCCCCCTTCCTGCTCATGAGTGTCAGATTGAGAGACTGGTCTCCCGCTCGAACTCATCCCTTCTCGTCTTCCTCTTCTTTTGAGAGACAACCTCGCCAATTCCTTCTTTAAGCTTGATAGAGTCATTGCCGCGAGACAACAACGCTGCCCGTCTTCTCCTCCTTCGTTTGTTCGTTCGCAAGATCGAGTGTGCAGGAACTCCCGCACTCGCTGCCTCTACATGACTGTGTCGTCGCTTCTTTCCTACCTCGCGTCGTCTTTTTCTCCTTCGCACATCGTTGAACCCACGATAAGTCGATTTATATAGGCGAAATTTCCTCCTAAACTTCCGACCTCTTGTCTCTCTGTTCGGTTACCCCAACTCTTCACTTCGTGGACAATCATACCTTCCGGATTGTCTAATGCACCCAACATGATCATGAGATTGATGAACCAGATATTTCAGAGTCATGTCGGTAAATTCGTGGTGGTGTACTTCGATGGCATTCTAGTGTGCAATGGATTTGAGGAGGAGCACTTACAACACTTGAAGATGGTCTTCGAGGTTCTGTAATCAGAAAAGCTATAGACACATCAATGGAAGTGCCGATTTATGACAACACATGAATGCTTTTTGGGTTATATCGTGTGTAATGCAGACATCCAAAGGGATCCTATAAAGGTCAAGGCCATTGTGAGTTGGACCGCACCACAGTCTTTCACCAAGCTGAGGGAATTTTTGGGACTCTCATTACTCTACAAGCGATTTATCAGGAGCATCAGTACCATCGCCGCTCCCCTGCTAGAGCTTTTGAAAAGATAGAAATTTGAGTGGGCAAATGCAACTCAGGCCAGTTACAATAGAATGAAGGAGAAGGTGATTCGGGCCACTTTTGGCATTATCAAATTTCAATCAGTTGTTTGAGGTAGAGTGTGATGCATCCAATGTGGGGGTAGGAGCAGTGTTGAAATAGGTAAGCCACCTCAAAGCATTTTTTCAGTGAACAGCCGAATAAGTCCAAGAGGAAATATTCGACAGACAACAAGGAGTTCTATGCTATTATGAGAGCTCTTGATCATTGGAGCCATTACCTACTGACAAGCAAATTCACTTTGGTCACAAATCATTAGGCTTTGAAATTCTTGGACAGCTAGAACAAACTGAATGGCCGACACACCTCTTGGGTGGAGTTCTTAGTATGGTTCCATTTCGTGCTTAAGCACAAGGCGGGGAGTCAGAACAACACAACAAAAGCATTGATTCGTCGTCACTTGCTGATCATGGAAATTCAGGCTTGATTCGTAGGTTTTTGAGGTAGTGCTGGAGTTGTACGAGACAGATTAGGATTTCGAGAAAATCCGGTAGCAGTGTCAGGAGAAGCCTACTGAACAGTACTACTGGGCTGATGTTTACTTGTTTTACCAAATATGTGTATTTTTAGATGTTCGCTGAGGGAGTACATTGTTCAGGAAAGCCACGGTGGAGGTTTTGCAAGACATTTTGACAAAGATAAGGCTCTTGCGATCATGTGAGAACATCTTTGTATAGCCCCAACTGACTAGAGATGTGGAGAGACATGTTAGACAATGCTGGATTTGTCATATAGTTAAAATCCGGGGACAAAATGCAGGACTATACCCTCATTACCAATACCAGAGGCACCGTGAGTAGATGTTTGCAAGGATTTTGTGGTGGGACTCCCGTGGATGCAGCGAACAAGGATTGCGTTATGGTTGTTATGGATTGATTCTAAAAAGTAGAGCGTTTTGTACCCTGCCACCAAACGCTAGGTGCATTGCTTTTTGCTGACTTGTACTTCAGGGACATTGTGAGGCTACATGGGATACACTGGACGTTCACTTCTGACAGGGTTGTCAAGTTTTTTAGTCATTTCTAGGGGACTTTATTGGGGAAGCCAGGCACTAAGCTTCAATTAAGTTCAGCGGCTCACAGATAGATGATCGGACGGAGATAGTGAATAGGAGCCTTGGGAATCTTTTGAGATTCTTTATTGGGAATAATATCAAGCAGTGATATTTGATTCTAGCTCAAGTCGAGTTTTCTTACAACAGATCCACAAGTTAGCGGACGCACCCCATTTGAGATTGTGTATTGGCGCAATCCGCTCACTCCAATTGAATTGGTACCTCTTTTGCCGACATCAGAGATTAGTGCAGATGGTGTGGAACAGGTACACGAGGTTTTGAAGCTCCAAGAGGAGGTTGGATAGAAGATCTCCAATCCTAACCACAAATACCAAGCACAAGCGAATCATACCACGAAGAAGGTGATGTTTCAAGAAGGGGACCTAATGTGTATCCGGATAAAGAAAAGAAGATTTTCAGTGGGAGCATTAAGAATACTCAAGCCCAAAACATATTGACTCTTCAAAATACGTCGGAAGTTGAATGTAATGCTTATAAGATTGACCTACTAGGGGACTACAATGTTTCCGTGACGTTCAATGTCACGAACTTGACACTGTACTACGAGGAGCTAAAAGCATCAATGAATGATGTCAAAGCTCCCCGAAACTCAAGAGACTGTCTAGGGTTGAACCAGCTCAACCAATTTAGTAAGGATGTGGCCGATCCAGTAGGGAGATTGAATCGTCCGGATCCAGTAGGGAGACTGAATCGGCCTGCCCAAGTTAAAGTTGACGGCTGCCTTCCCCTCCTAGTTATTTCTACCATAAATATGTTGCGTTGCTGTTTAAGGTTTGTCTTTTGCTGTTTTTAGATTTCTCTCCATAGGCGTGGTTCTCCTTTCCTAGAGTCGTATCCGTGGACAGGTCATGCTTCTGCTGTTTTTTTCTTTGGGGTGGTAGTTTTCTCGACAACTTTTATTTGTATTTCTCTTCCCAGCTTGCTGCCCTTTTCCCTGCACTTTCCACCTTCGCTATTCTTGTTGTCGACATCCTGCTGGCACCCCTATCTGCTTGTCGCCAGCCACTCCTGCCCTTCTACTTGCTGTCCCTAGCCTTCCTGAACCCCTCCCTGATGCCGCCAATCTTCTGAACCGCCGTCATCAACTTCCACCACCCTTCTAGCAATCCGAACTGCTGCTGCCTCCCCTTCCGCAACCCTACTTGCTACGCAACCTTCTAAAGTTCCCCCACAACTGCTGTCCAACCAAGGTTTATCACCTTCACGCTCGCCCTAGAGGTTTGTTTGCGCTGCATTATTTTATTTCTAGTTTTAGGAACCTTTGTTGTGATTCCTGCAAATTTTCAGCAATAATATTTGTGTTTGATTGTTTTTGGGGTTAACTCCAGTTTCGGTATGTAAATGCCACTTGTTTTTTTCAATCACTGGAAGGCGATTGCCCATTTCTTTGTTTTTTTTCAACCATTGAAAGCTCGTTGTTGTCTTGGTGTTGTGCTGGTGTTGTTGTTGATGCCATTTTCTTTTGTTGCTAGCTACTTATTTCTCTATTATAGCATAAATGGATTTTTCTTACTTACAAGCTCGGCCTTATAGATTTGTCTATGATTCTCTATTTTCTTTTTTTTTTATTTGATTCTTTTTCACTGTTATTGAAACTGGACATTTGGCCTGCTGCTTTCTTACGGTCATTCTCATTTCTGCTTTTGTTTTGACATTGATTCTTTTGTAATGTCCAGATGTATAATATTTTCTTTTGTTGGCTTTCTACTATAGTAGAAAACCATGTTTCGTTGTTCTCTGTAAAAACTCAGATTGGAAAGTGTTTTTCGTGCTGTCTATACCAGACTTCTGGAATTTCGTAAAACTATGGCTTCAAGGCTAGTTTGACTATAAATATGACTCTACAACAACAACAAAGCCTTAATCCCACTACGTGGGTCGGCCATGTAAAACCTTTCAATAATTTAATAATTTTTTTTATTCTTCTCAAAATTATGTATTTTGGTTGTGGATTCTTCCAGTGTGTGGCATGTCTTGATGAAAATTTTAGGGGAAAAGGTTTCTTCTTAGGCCGTCAATGCTCCTGCGTCTTTGGTGACTTTATCCTTGAGTATGTTTTAATTGGTTTCCACATGGGTGATTGAGATTTCAGCAAATGTGTTAAAATTTGGTTTTCCTTTCTGTGATGTAAGGTTGCTGTTTAGTTTTGATATATTCTCACTTTTTTTAAGAAAATTTTAGGTTCAGGTGCTCTTTAAATTTTTATTTGAAACGTTTTGTGTTTTTTGGGTTTGCATCAAGAGAGACTAGTTTTTATCTAAACTAATAGATGATGTGATGTGGAATTTTGATTTTTTTTAATTCTTGCTTTCGGAGAACCACAGACTCTAAGATGTCCTAGATCTGCTTGATTGGGGCTTTTCAATATTTAGTGAGTCACAGTGGGATTTAGTTGACCTGCATCGAACCTCATCCACATCAGTTTCTGCTATCATGACATTGTAGCTTTATTAGCTCACTTATTATGATCACTAATTCTAACTTACGATATTAAATGATTAATTAAGGTTTGGTATGGTAAATCACACTAGATACATAACATTTTTGGGTAATTTGACCACAATTGGCGTTAGTCTCTCTAGTCTGCACAATTGGATTCACTTAAATGGAATTGTCATCTGTTTTTATTCTCTGTAAAACTATTTTGAAAACTTCTTTTAAAATTTTTACTTTTTAGGAAAATATTTGCAAAACTTACAAGAAATCAAAAGAATTATAATCCCTGTTTTGAAGTGCAGGTGCTCTTTGTTTGCACAGCAAATGTAATTGACACTATTCCGAATCCTCTCCTGGACAGAATGGAAGTGATTGCTATTGCTGGTTATATAGCTGATGAAAAGATGCACATTGCAAGGGATTACCTTGAGAAGTCAACTCGTGAAGCTTGTGGTATAAAGCCTGAACAAGTATGCCACAATACTTTCATGCCTGAGATGTTTTATGACTATCCAACTGAAGCACTACTCCTTAATATACCTACTCATGTAAATCTGATAAGATTAAAATATCCAGGTAGAAGTAACAGATGCAGCTTTACTTGAACTAATAGAAAATTATTGCCGGGAGGCTGGTGTGCGGAATCTGCAGAAACACATTGAGAAGATATACCGCAAGGTTTGAATACATGAATTTTGAAAGGTTGTCTGTGCTTTTCTGTTTTTAACTTAGTTGGCTATTTCAATCTAGTTTGTATCATTGTTAATAATCAGAATAAGCTAATAATCTATCTTTTTTTCACGTGAGTTATGTGAAATATAATTCTAAAGCTGTATGCATGCTTCGTTCATTGGGATGCATGGTGATGGTGATATTTCATCCTGCTTTTGTTTGGTGCCCTCTCAGATGATTTCAGCTTTGAGGCAATGTAATAGTTGCGCCACCATGATTTTGGCAAATCAGTTTGCATTCTGCTGAGAATTTTTCTTATAGATTTGCAGCCAAAAAATGTTTTAAACTGCTATTGTTAATTTCAAGTTATCATTGTAATTATTTGGTTATCAGGAAGAACCACCACTTGTAAGTTTTGATGCCTTTCAGAGATCATGTTAAGCATAGCAAAACAATATGTTATTGAACTATAGGGATTTTTTACTTTAGTTTATTAGTTTTCTTCTTAAGCCTCTTCTTTCTAGAATTTAAATCATGAAGCTCTTATGTTACATGAAATGTTAATAATAGTTCACTCCCAATAATTTTTTATTTTGTAACTTAATACTCTGATATTTGACAGATAGCTCTTCTTCTAGTTCGTAAGGCAATTTCAAACGAGCCATCGAATGCTAAAACTTTCGAGGAGCTTGAAAGGGCAGAAATTGATCCATCCACAAACCAAAGTACAAGAGTTGGCGAACAAACTGACACGGGGGTTTGTGTTTCTTATTTATACAGCAATAAACCATAGTTGATTTGTTTATGAACTACTGTTATTGAACTTGAACATTTCCCATTGCCATTTTGCTTGAGATTTCTAAGTTACTATTTCTCTTGGTCTACAACTCTACATTATTGGCATGATCACATCATTAACCAGACACTATAAAATTTAGGATTTAGCAAGCTAAGAATGAATTTGAGTTTGTAATTTGTATGGATGAACTTATTATAAATTTTCAATTCAGGACTAGGATGATTCGACTGGACTTATATTGTTGATTGAAGTTATCCAGTTCCTTATCATAATAGGGATACTGCTTTGTTTTCTTGAGTTTGTTAGTAGTGGATTAGATCTTATCCTTCAATTTTTCACAAGCACTATAGCAATTGTTGCAAGTTTTTTTACATGAACTGTAAGAGTTGTGGCTGTCTGGCGTGTTGTTTGCTTCTATAAATTGCTAGATTCTTCTTATGTGTAGGTAAAGATTAGTGGCCTGGATCTCTGTTTTTTTATTTATTTTATTTTTTTAGTGTCTAGTTGGTAAGGATGTTATATTACAAATAACTAGTCGCGAGTTCAAGGCTTTGCAGGAGGGTGAGAGGAATAAGAGAAGTAGCGAGGTATTTTAAAATTCCTCTATTTTAAAAGGGTGCGGCCATACCAGCACCAGTGCACTAGATCTCATCAGAACTCCGCAGTTAAGTGTGCTTGGGCGAAAGTAGTAATAAGATGAGTGACCTCCTGGGAAGTCCTTGTGTTGCACCCCACCCTTTAACACTTCCATTGACAATCCCAAGTCCAGATGTGAAAAGTGGAATGTTGTGTTAAGTTGTTGACAGTTAGTACAAAACTTGTCAAAAAACTCATGACATGAATCTTTTTGATCATTGTGTAATTGTTGGGGTGTCTTCTGAAAGCAACATGCTGTATGTTCTGAATACAGTGAAACATGTGCAAGGACCGCTACACTAGCGCTCAGGTGTAGTGTCAAATAAGCAAGGGTTCTCACCTTATGGACGAATGCGGGTAAAAAAGTTAGTCCATGAAACTAATATTAGGATAAGATCTTGGAATATAGGTACTATTGCTGGTAAATTAATGAAATTAGTTGATATTATGATTCATAGAAAGATAATCAAGAAATTAAATGAGTTGGTAAAAAGACTAAGGAGATTGATAACATAAGTTTTAAACCTTGGTATTCAGGTAAGAGTCGCACTAGATATGGGGTAGGTGTAATTATAGATAAGAGTTTGAAAGATAATATTGTAAAATTTAATAGAGCTGGAGATAGAATTATAGTCCTTAAGATTATTACTGATAGTAAGACTTTTAATATTAAAAGTGTTTATGCTCCTCAAGTAGGTTTTGATATAGGTTCTAAAGATAAATTCTGAGATAACTTATAAGACTTAATACAAATGATACATCTTGAAAAAAGAATTTTTATTGGAGAAGATTTAAATGGACATGTCGGTAGAACGGTAGAAGATTTTAGAAATATTCATGATGGCTACGATATTAGAGTGATTAATGAAGAAGGTAGAGCTATTTTAGATTTTGCTTTAGCGTATGATTTTATTATTGCTAATACTTTATTTAAGAAAAGAGACGCGTATATTATTACTTATAAGAAATACTTCCAAGAATGGATCTAATAAAACACAAATTGGTTATTTTCTTACGAGAAGAAGAGATCGTCGAGAATATAAGGATTGTAAGGTCATTCCAAGTGAGGAATTAAGTACTCAACATTGATTATTAATTTTAGATTTTAAGATGAAGAGTTGTAAAATAAGGAATATTATGAATTATCATCGTATAATTAGATGGGGCACATAAAATACACAAATAAAATTATTTTTATGAGTAAAATTCAAGATTTCAAAATTTGGGATGCTCATGAAGAACAAGTGCAAAAGTTGTACTTGGAGAATAAAAAAAAGTTTCTATAAATAAAAATAATTAATGGTGGAATAATAATGTGCAAGAAAATATAAAATATAAGAAGGTATGTTGTAAAAATTAGTTTAAATGTAAAAGCTTAGAGAATTGAGAAAAATTTCAAACGACTCATAGGGAGTCTAAGAGAATAATTTGTGACGCTAAAAATTCTGTTTTTAGTGATTTTTTAGTGATCTTTATAATTGATCTTTATAATAGATTAGATATTAAGGAAGATGAAAAATATATGTATAAACTAGCCAAACAAAGATAAAAGAAAAGTAAAGATTTAACTTAAGTAAAGTGTATTAAAGATGAAACTCAAAAAGTGTTTTTCCTATAAAAAGATATTCAAAATAGGTGGATGAGATATTTTAATAAACTTTTTAATGAAGTCTCAAAAAATATGATCGACCTTAGTGATATTAATATCGTTAATAATAATAAAATATTTCATTTTTACCGTCGCATTATAAGGAGACTTTAAAGAAAACCTAGGGTGAAAAGTCTTTAGAACCTGATGTTATCCTAGTGTGTAAATATTTAGGAGATTTGGGAGTCTTTTAGCTTACTAAACTCTTTAATATTATTTTAAAAACTAAAAAAATGCCTGTAAAAACTAATATTTTAAAAACTAAAAAAATGCCTGAGGAGTGGAGGAAGTGTATTTTGGTCCCCATTTTTAAGAATAAAGGCGATGCACAAGAGTGTGTCATATATAGAGGAATTAAGTTGATGTGTCTTACTTTAAAATTATGGGAGAGGGTAATTGAACATAGGTTAAGACATACATAATCAATTTGGATTTATGTCGGGCGGCTCCACTATGGAAGCTATACATTTATTGAGGGGTTTGAAGGAGAAATTCAGAGATAATTAGGAGGATCTACATATGATTTTTATTGATTTAGAAAAAGCTTACGATAAGGTCCCAAGAGATATCCTTTGGAGAGTTCTTAAGAAAAAATGTGTTGATATGACTTTTTATTCAAGTCATTAAAGATATGTATACAAGAACTGTTACTTGTGTTCGAATAGAAGGAAAATTGACAAAATATTTTTTTATTTATGTTGGTTTACATTAGGGATCGGGTTTAAGCCCATATCTTTTTTTGCTTTAGTTATGGATGGTCTTACTGAGCACTTACAGGAGGATGTACCTTGATATATGCTTTTTGCAGATGATATCCTTCTCGTGGATAAGACGAGAGAAAATACTCAGGAGAAACTTGAATTATGGAGGTCTACCTTGGAGTCTAATAGCCTTCGTTTGAGTAGAACTAAAAATAAATACATGGAATGTAATTTTAGTAGTAGTAGCTCTAATGACAAAAAATGTAACTATGGGTGATCAGATTATTAAAAGGAGTGAACGCTTTAGATATCTCGGGTCTTTTGTTCAAATTGGTGATATTTATGGGGATGTTATTAGTAGAATTTAAGTCGGTTGGTTGAAGTGGAAGAATGCTTCGAGCCTATTATGTGATAGAAAAGTATCACTTAAATTGAAAGGAAAATTTTATAAGATGGCGGTGAGACATGCAATGCTCTATGGCACTGAATGTTGGCCTTTAAAAGAGAAGCATAAAACTAAGTTAAGTGTTGCCGAGATGAGAATGATTGTGTGGATGAGTGTCTTTACACTTAGAGACAAAATGTGAAATGAATATATTCGTGATAAGGTTGGTGTAGCTCCAATGACGGACAAAATTAGGGAGAGTCGTCTTAGATAGTTTGGTCACATTAAACGTCGGCCATCTGATGATCCGATTAGAAGAATAGATGTGTTAGATTCGACTTATGTCAAGAAAGGCGGAGGTAGACCTATGATGAATTGGGCTTATTCTATAAAAAATGATCTTAATTTATTAGAATTAAATGAAAATATGACACTAAATGTGACACAGGTGAAAAAGGATTCATGTAGCCGACCTCACTTAGTGGGATAAAGGTTTTGTTGTTGTTGTTGTCTATTGTGTGATAGAAAACTTTCGCTTATACTGAAAAAAAAAAATTTATTAGATGGTGATGAGACCTGTAATGCTCTATGGCGCAGAACATTGGCCTTTAAAAGATAAACATAAAATAAAGTTAAGTGTTGCTGAGATGAGAATGCTTAGGCGGATGAGTGGCTTGACACTTAGAGACAAAATGCAAAATAATATATTTGTGCTAGGGTTGGTGTAGCCTAGTGACGGACAAGATTAGAGAGAATCTTCTTAGATGGTTTGGTCACATTAAACATGGACCATCTGACGATCCTGTTAGGAGAGTAGATGTTTTAGATATGACTTATGTTAAGAAAGGCAGAGGTAGGCCTAAAAAGACTTGGTTTTATTGTATAAAAATTGATCTTAATCTTAGAATTAAATGAAGATATCACACTCAGTAGGGCACAATGGAGAAAAACAATTCATGTAATCGGCCCCACTTAGTGGGATAAAGGCTTGTTGTTGTTGTTGTGGAAATTTTAACATCACAGAACAATTTATGCAAATAAAAATAATGTATTTGTTCAGAATTTCATTGAATTTATGTTTTTTTAATTTTTCGATCACATTTGGTCAAATTACTTATAAGAATGGATCTAATAAAAGCAAATTAATTATTTTCTTATAAGAAAAGAGATTGTGAAGAATGTAAAGATTGTAATGTCATTCTAAGTGCAAAATTTAAATACTCAACATCGATTATTAGTTTTAGATTTTAAGATGAAGAGTTGAAATATAAAAATATAATGAAACATTATCATAGAATTAGATGAGGGGGCTTAAAAGACACATGTAAAAATTTTTTTATGAGCAAACTTCAAGATTTTAAGATTTGGGATGTTCACGAAGAAGTTAATTCTATGTGGAATAAAGTAGCAGATACTTAATTAGTGACAAAAGATATATTTGGAGAATCAAAAGACAAAACTTTTATAAATTAAAATTGTCGGTGGAATAATTATGTGTACGACAAGATAAAAATATAAGAAATTTTGTTATTAAAATTTGCTTAAATCTAAAAGCTTAGAGAGTTGGGAAAAATATAAGGTGACCCAT